TTAGTGGCTTAGTTTACATCGTGAATTTGATACGCGTACTATATAGTAACTTTCTGTTAAATAACAACGGTATATTAAGCTGGTATAATACTCATCAAGAAAACGTATTGTATTGATTAAACGCGTCGCCGTTGATATGCATTGTCAATATTAAAATTATCTAATAGAAAGTTACTATTATACGCGTATCAAGTGCACGATGTAAACTAGGCTAATGTGATACGGGCTTAAAACGTACCGTAAAAATGAACCAATTACAATCGAGTATTTACAAAAATGGCGACCTTACGGTTCGACAATACTCAAAGTGATTGGTCAACTCTTATGGTACGTTTTACGTTATGGCTCTTGCTCACAGAACGCGGCAACGCTTGCTGCGCGGCGGAAGTTCGCGCAACAGCCAATCAATGCTGCTTTCCGTAATAACCTTCTAGCTCTTATGGAAAAACAACATATTGATTGGCTGTCGCGCGGCAAGCATTACCGCGTCCTATGTGCAGGAGCCATTAGGGCCTCCACACATAAATTGACATAACAGTGGCTACGTTCCGCAGAGCGTATCATGTGCATGATACGCTGCATTAGAGTGAAAGAGATATGAGAGTGAGATAAAAAAAGAGGGAGAGCACTTAGGTGATGTTCTCGAACGCATGAAAGCGCATAGACTGCCTCAGCTCCCGAGGTAGTGTAGTCCATGTGCTCTCATGCGTTCGAGAACATCACCCGAATACTCTCCCTCTCTTTTTATCTCACTCTCGTATCTCTTTTGCTCCAACGCAGCGCATTATGCGCATGATGTGCTTTGCGGAACGCAGCCAGTAACGTAAACGTACCGTAAAAATTGACCAATTACGCTCGAGTATTCATCAAAATGGCGACATTACGGTTCGATGATTTTCAATGTGATTAGTCAATTTTTAGAGCCCTCACACATGAAATGACATAACTGCATGTGCATAGCATAATGGCTCCTGCACACAGGACGCGGTAATACTTGCCGCGCGGCGGAAGTTCGTGCGACAGCCAATCAATATGCTGCTTTCCGTAATAAC